GAGGGAGGTGCCCAGACCACGCTTTACTGTGCTTTGCAGGAGGGACTCGAGCCTCTGAGTGGATGGTACTTCTCTTCCTGTGCCCTGCAGAATGTTAGCGCTCACGGACGGGATGATGCCTTGGCCAAGAAGCTTTGGGAAGTGAGTGAGAGGCTGTGTGGCCTATCGTGAGTGAGCTCACACAGGTTTGTAGAACAGAAACAGAGAGACCACCAACAGCTTTATGAGTGTGAGCTTCTGAAGTTTTTCTAATGGTTCATTAATGGTACAGAAATGAAGAGATATTTATGTCTTAAAATAAAACACAAATATCTAAAATCAATTGTTCTAAATGCTACAAGTGAATTTAGGCATCACAAAATTATAATGTACAGTGTGAAAAATTGGTATTCATTTTGAGATTTTATCTACCTAATTATTATTCAAATTATGGCAAAAGTTATATAAATGTAAAATAGAAGAAATTAGCATAAACTATAAATGAATGTAACATTTGAATAATTAAATTATAATAAAAAATCAGAATAAAATATTGGTCAATAACTAATATGGTACCAATATATTATGCATCCCTATGTTAAATAAAGCAAAAATGTATGCATAGATTGGGGAACAGTAACAATAGTAAGCTAATGTCCCTATGATTTGTAATGCCTATAATTTTTGTTGAAAATGTTTTTTCTTTCATACATTTCATGTCTTTAATTTCTTTTTATTAATTTCATATTTTTCATATCTTTCTTTCATATATATCAATATACAGCATATAGATCTTTATCTCATTGGTACACTTTAAGAATATTTCTTAAACTGTGCTATTGTTATGAACATGCATAAATGAACATGCATTTGACCTAAATGGGAAACCATGACCAATTCAAATACCACATGTATTTGAAAATGAAAATCATTTGAAGAAAGTAAAGAGGTAAAAATATCTGTTCAATAACATCAATATCTTTCCACACCTTTTTCACTGTCCTGCAGAGTTTAGCTCCAACCCTTATTAAACACAAATGAACCAGTTAGTGAAGTACTGCATTCAAATACTTCTCTATATAGTAAGCAAAAAACAGTATGCCAAAAGACATGTATGTCCAAATTCACAGTATTCGAAAAACAATAACGAAAAGTGCCTGGATGACCTACTATTTCCGATGAGATTCTGAAGTGTGCACTTACACTTTACTATCCCTGAGGCCATGGGCAAGGATTTGTGAATGGCAGTAAAGTGATGCAACTGACAATGTAGGTCACATGACCATATCAACACGGCGGATGTAGTTCATCTGAATTTCATTCATACTACCCATATTCATGCTCAGTGCTGGGAAGATTATTTGCACTCTTAAAAATAAAGGTTCTTTATTGACATCAATGGTTCTATGAAGAACTTGAACATCCTTGGAACCTTTCAAATGCAGAAAAGGTTCTTTATAGTCAAAAAAGGTTCTTTAGATTTTTAAAATGTTTTTCAAAATGGTTCTTTTAGGAACTGTTCACTGAAAGGTTCTTTTGGGAATCAAAAATGGTTCTTCTATGGGGTCACTGCAAAAACACCCTTTTGGAACCTTTATTTTTAAGAGTGTACACATTGTAGTCTATTACTGATTCAATTATATGATGGAATTTGTAGTTAGTACTGTAATCTATTTGATTACCAATGTATTCTGATTACTCTTTGATTACACTGTAAAAAATTTCAAGCCATTTCAACTAATTATTATTTAGTAAGTTCCACAGAAATTTTACGTTCAGTCAGTTTCTGCCTTCAAAGTGTTGCCTGAATTGTTATTTTTTAGTTGGCTCAACCTTTACTGAAATAGTTTTATAGTCCATTCAACTAAAATTATTTAATAGGTCAAACATTTAGAAAACTACAGCAAATTGTGTCAATTGAAATTTAACCATTCACTCCATGTGTTTCATATGTTACCTCAACTAAGATTTATTATTTGGGCATCATAAGAAATTGCTGTGGAGCTAGTTATTATATTTTATATTGAGTTTAAGAAAATGTATTACCTGGTGTCTATCAATCACTAAAACACACACATTACAACACATAATAGCCTTTATTTAATAACAATCTGCATTTATAACTTTTGTCATACAGACTAAACATGCAGGCTTAAAGGGATAGTTCACCAAAAAAGAAAATTTGCTGTTAATTGACTCACCCTCAAGCCATCCAAGATGTAGTTAATTTTTTTTCTTCAATTAAACAGTAAAGGAAATTTTTAGGTGAAAACATTGTCTTTGAAAACATTGCAATTCATAAACTGCACGTGTCTGGCTGCCGGCTTTTGAGAGTCAAATAAACATATACAGACAATACCAAATTACCAAAGGCTCCTGAGGACACATTGAGGCCTTATGAAGCTAAACAATCAAAACCCGGCAGCCACAGACGTGCAGTGTATGAATCACCAAGGATCACCGTTTCAGATAAAAATCTTCTTTACTGTTCTACTGAAGAAGTCCCTGACATCCGGGATGGCCTGAGGGTCAATAAAATAACAGCAAATTTCAATTTTTGGGTGAACTATCCCTTTAAAGTGCTCCAGTTGTCAAACATTACATTTGTAATATAACTGCAAAATTTATTTTAAACATTTGTTTAATTAACTTAAAGATTAAACAAAATGTTTGCAAACAAACATTTACAAATATTAAAGAAAAAAAAAGACACGATTCGTATATAGCTATCTCCGCTCGTGAAAAGCGCTGCCCTGCCCGTTTGATCGCCGCCCAGCAGACACACGGAGCGGGTATGAGAAACGAGAGGCGCGGCCGCAATCACTTAACTGGTGCTCGCCTTATCATCACCGTGACCGCTGCTGTTAAACGCTAAACATATTCCTCACTTCTTCTGTTTGTCCGACACCGAGGTGCAACATGAGTGATGGATCCGCATCCACTCTGCCAACTCGATGTATCACTGTTTCAGATAAAAATCTTCTTTACTGTTCTACTGAAGAAAAAAGTCACCAACATCTGGGATGGCCTGAGGGTCAGTAAAATAACAGCAAAAATCCCTTTAAAGTGCTGCAGTTGTCAGACATTACATTTGTAATGCAACTGAAAAATGTATTTTAAACATTTTTATAATGAACTTAAAAAAGACTAAACAAGTTAAACAAAATGTTTGCAAACAAACATTTACAAATATTACTACTGTTCACAATTACATCTTTAAAATAAGGCAGAAGTCAGAAAAAATAAATGAACCAGGTGTTACAATTCAATTGAACTGAGTCAAGTAAACTCCAGCCACTGTATTTATATAGCGCTTTTTACAGTACAGATTGTGTCAAAGCAGCTTTACAGTATTAAACAGAAAAATCATGTGTCGAAGGAACCAAAACTCCATAGTTCTTCTCTGGCCAGACGAAACCAGCAGTTTATTTGCAGGCTGCAGCAAAGTCAGATTGTGCAGAGAACTGGTCTGGTTCCTGTGGTCTTGTCCCGATGGCCGTCTAGATGACGAGGTCTTCAGAGGGGATCTGTCTCTGGGGCTCATCTAGTTGTCATTGGCTCCTCTGACATTCAGGGCTGTCGAGGGCGACTCTAGGTCCTGATCCACCATCTGATCTGGATACAGACTGGATCTGGTGGCTACGGACGGTGACCTCGAAATAGGAACGAGACAGTCTAATATTAGCGTAGATGCCACTGAGAACAATAAAGCACATTTTAATTGTAGTAAACACTCTAAACTTTTACACATATTACCTTAAGTCTTAAGCCCCGTTCACACCAAGGACGACAACTATAAAGATAACGATAAAGATATAGTTCTAAAAATCGTTCTCAATATTAAAGAATAGCAGAGTCCACACCACAACTATAACGATAAAGACAAAGAGAAACGATATAGTTGGAATCACTTTCAAAACGATTTTTCTCCAGCTGATGAACGATAAAAAATTGACAGCCAATCAGAATCCATTCTGCTGTAACGAGCTCGAGAATTTAAAGCGGCAGACGCGCGTGCGCTTAGAATAAACAGACGATATAGTTCGCTGGTGTGGACGCTAATATCGTTATCTTTATAGTTATCGTTCTTGGTGCGAACGGGGCTTTAGTGTTGAAAGTACACACACACTATGTAGTTGCAGTGGAGCAGTTTGGTCACATGGCAGTGTTTGGCGCCTTAGAAGAAGTGACTGGCCAGCATCTGAAAACTTTAAATGATGAGAAAGCACCAATGAAACCTTTGGCCACACCCTGATGGATAAATAAAGTACAATTTACCTCAAGAAATGAAATGATGCCTTTAAAATCATTTAAAATGTAATACCAGTTAATTAAATTTGTGATAAGAAGTTGCAACCATTTTATTGGCACAAAAAATCTCAATCCATCGCACAACACCGGGAGCATTGATGTTGACTGTTCATTAGTTGCAAGGATTTGTAACAGAACATGCACATTAGAAGTCTACCTTAAACAACATTAAAATAATATCAAAATATGCCTGCCTGTTGTTGATAAATACCAGTGGTGACGTTTTACAAATTGATTGATCAATTGTCCCAATGTTAACTAAGCCATGGTCTCTTTACCAGTGCAGGGACTCGTATGCACGATCTAGTGATTCACTACCTAGAGACGCAGTCTGCTTTGATAACAGCCTTGTGAAAGAATTCAGTTCGACGAACTCCTCTCCGAAGCGCCTTCACGAGACCAGAAACGCCGTGTAATCCGCCCCGTTTGAAAAGAGCCTGGTTGTTAGTCACGTTTAATGTCGACTTTTAACTTCACGGGACAATTGCAAAAGTTTGCACACGCAAAAACCCATTCAACACGCCCATGTTAACTTCAAATAAGCGTATTACTGTGGTTTACATTACACGTTTCGCCATATTTAATACCATATTTTTGTGGTATTAAAATTGGTTTATTTTTCTTTTCTTTTGGTCTTGGGTGTCCTGACGTAGAGAAACTGCGCCACCCAGCGCTTGTCAGAAGTTAAAGCCCGGAAGCTGTAGCTGACAGTTACGAAAACATAAACACGATAACAGGCGGGACACATGTGCTCTCTCCTAAACTTTGAAAAACTGCAACATTCCTTAATTAACGCGCTCAAAGGAAATAATGTCTGTACTGTTGTCAGTGCTGGTCGGTGTGCTTGCTGCATACATACTGATTTATTACAGCCTATTTAAAGGAACCCGATTTAAGAGCAACGTGACGTTAAAGGGAAAAACCGCAATTGTCACAGGTTGGTATCATTTCAACGCTTTTCATATTAAACAATCCAATCCAACTTAATACCACTTAAACCTAAAAAAAAACCCCGAACTGCTTACTAACTTAGATTGTCACTCGATAGTGGTTATACCTTTATACAGTCTATGGGTTATACTTATCAAAGTCGTATACAGTTATATTTAAGTACCACTGTCAGTAGTACTAAAGTACAATACATTTATATGATTTGTTAGAATTTATTTTATATTAATTATGTCTATGTCTATTGTAATTAGTTTGCTGAACATTAGAGGACATTTAACACTGGCTCAGGGTTGAGTAATCAATAATCTGTATGCAGGGAGTAATACAGGCATTGGCAAAACCACAGCCTTGGATCTAGCCAAAAGAGGGGCCCGAGCGATCCTCGCCTGCAGAAACAAAGAGAAATCTGAAGTTGCAGTTTATGACATAAGAAAGGTGAACTCATCTCCTAACCCCGGTTCCTCCAGGTTCTTATCATTTCTCTGATACAAGTCTAAAAGAAAGACATTATGTATATCCCTCAGGAAAGCGGGAACCCTGAGGTATTCGACATGCATCTGGACCTGGCCAGTTTGAAGTCCGTACGTGATTTTGCAGAGACTTTTCTGATGAGTGAACCGAGACTCGACTTGCTCATTAACAATGCAGGTAAATTGAGAAGAGTTTCATAGTTTCTGAAATGTTGTTTGAGGGAGTTTACACTTGTAGTTCAGTTCTTTTGAACTGGGTCTAAAAAGTAAATGATACATTTAGTCCTGGTTTGCTTAGCGTTCACACTGTCATTTTTAACTCTGAACCTAAAGATACAAAACAAATGGCATAATACAATCAAAACATGATTGGACAGCTTTTATGACATGTACTGTATTTTACGAACTTACCAAACATCTAAAACTGCTGCGTGTAGGGTCAAATGCTCTTGTTGTATGTGTCTACTTCCACCATTGCTTGCTGTAAGGAGATGACGGTTCCAAAGCCTATATCTAACTGTAATGGGCAACATGGCTCCTATGATGAGAAGAACCAGATTTGCTTGAGGATTCTGCCCTGTTTTTGGATTGTTTAGATGTCTTGGTCCGTACCATACAGTCTATGGTACGTACGTTGCATTCATATTTCAGTTGAACCGCACCAGAGTTCTTTTGGAAGTATACCGAGACTCACCTGTTAAGTGGGTTTTGGTCTGCTGCTTGTTTGGTGCACACCAAGGTTCGGATGGCAGTGTTCACACTTATTTAAATTAACCGCACTAACAGAGCAATTGCACCAGAGTTAATTTTAATCAAACCAAACCAGCCACCTGTAAACACACCCTCAGTGTGTGAGGCTTTCTCTCTAGGTCTTATAGCATCAGGCAGAACTGAAGATGGTTTTGGCATGGCGTTCGGCGTCAACCACATTGGCCACTTTTTGCTGACGCTGTTGCTGTTGGATCGTCTAAAGCAGGCAGAGCACAGCCGTGTCGTCAACGTGTCTGCCCTGCTGCATCGGCTGGGGTCTGTGGATTTCAACCTCCTCAACACGCAGAAGGATGTGGTCACAGGTCAATCGTCCTGGCACGCGTTCAGAGCCTACTGCCACAGCAAACTGTGTAATGTGCTCTTTACCCGTGAGCTCGCAAACCGACTGGAAGGGACGAGTGTCACTTGCTATTGCCTGCATCCAGGTTAGTGGGGCATTTTTTGTCTGCTATCATGTCACAAGTATTATTATTCCTTTTTTTCCCCCTACATTTTCTTCATTGTCTCATCTTTATAGGTGTTATCGCAACTGAGATCGGTCGAAATATGGGTGTGCTGCAGAAGCTGCTTTTCCTGCCCATGTCCAAGCTGTTTTTCCTGGACCCAGAGGGAGGTGCCCAGACCACGCTTTACTGTGCTTTGCAGGAGGGACTCGAGCCTCTGAGTGGACGGTACTTCTCTTCCTGTGCCCTGCAGAATGTTAGCGCTCACGGATGGGACGATGCCTTGGCCAAGAAGCTTTGGGAAGTGAGCGAGAGGCTGTGTGGCCTATCGTGAGTGAGCTCACACAGGTTTGTAGAACAGAAACAGAGAGACCACCAACAGCTTTATGAGTGTGAGCTTCTGAAGTTCTTCATATAATGTCTCTTTTGGTGTTACAGGCATATACATAGCTGAGGTAGCATTTGTATTTGGTATACAGGTGCATCTCAATAAATTAGAATGTCGTGGAATGGAGAAGCTCATAGCCCAAGTTGCTTGAAGTCCAGTGTTAAGTTTCCACAGTCTGTGATGATTTGGGGTGCAATGTCATCTGCTGGTGTTGGTCCATTGTGTTTTTTGAAAACCAACGTCACTGCACCCGTTTACCAAGAAATTTTGGAGCACTTCATGCTTCCTTCTGCTGACCAGCTTTTTGAAGATGCTGATTTCATTTTCCAGCAGGATTTGGCACCTGCCCACACTGCCAAAAGCACCAAAATTTGGTTAAATGACCATGGTGTTGGTGTACTTGACTGGCCAACAAACTCACCAGACCTGAACCGGATGTCAAGAGGAAAATGAAAAACAAGAGACCAAAAAATGCAGATGAGCTGAAGGCCACTGTCAAAGAAACCTGGGCTTCCATACCACCTCAGCAGTGCCACAAACTGATCACCTCCATGCCACGCCGAATTGAGGCAGTAATTAAAGCAAAAGGAGCCCCTACCATATATTGAGTATGTGTACAGTAAATGAACATACTTTCCAGAAGGTCAACAATTCACTAAAAATGTTTTTTTTATTGGTCTTATGAAGTATTCTAATTTGTTGAGATAGTGAATTGGTGGGTTTTTGTTAAATGTGAGCCAAAATCATCACAATTAAAAGAACCAAAGACTTAAACTACTTCAGTCTGTGTGCATTGAATTTATTTTTAATACACGAGTTTCACAATTTGAGTTGAATTACTGAAATAAATGAACTTTTCCATGACATTCTAATTTATTGAGATGCACCTGTATAATGCTTTAATATATATTGTTGCTTCAACACAATATATTTAAATTATGGTTGCACTGATGTATTTCATTTCTGATACAATAAGCTGTTCATAATTTTTTGTTATGGCCCTATAAATGGCTGATTTTAAAATTCTATACTATTTTGTCTTAATTAAAAATAAAACACTAAAACCTAAAACAAGTTGTTCTAAATGCTACAAGTGAATAATGTACAGTGTGAAAAATGGATATTCATTTTGACATTATATCTTATTATATCATCCTATATCATTATATATATTATATTATTATTATTAATAATAAATTAAGTGTTTTTAAAGATTAACTTAGACTGCTAAATTATGGCAAAAGATAAATAAATATAAAAATAGGAGACATGAGCATAAACAAAGTATAATGTAATACTAGAATAATTAAAATAAAATATTGGTCAATAACTAATATGGTACCAATATATTGTGCAGCCCTCTCTTAAATAAAGCAACAATATATGCACAGTAACAATAGTAACCATTAATGCCCCTATTATTTATGGTTATTTTTCCTGAAAAATATTTAGAGGTGAAGTTGCGATTTGTATTCACTCACTGGACACAGTGGACTTTGCATATTCCTTTGTATTAAGTTTTTTTATGGTATATTTTTTATCTCTATCTATCTATCTATCTATCTATCTATCTGTCTATCTGTCTATCTGTCTGTCTGTCTGTCTCTCTGTCTGTCTGTGTTTTTCTTTCTCATATTTCATTTCTTTGATTTTTTTTTATTGAATTCATGTTTCATAACTTTCTTTCCTCCTTTCTTTCATATATATCAATTTATTTAGATCTTTATCTCATTGGTACATTTTATGAATGTTTCTATCTCTGCACTGTATCTTTATGACAGTGCTATTGTTATGAACATGCATAAATGTTTTATAATTTTTTTTATAATCACATTGCATCCACCATTGCATTTTTTTTAAACACATGACCAATTCAAATATCTCATGTATTTGAAAATGAAAATCATTTGAAGAAAGTAAAGAAAGTAAAAATATCTGTTTAAGAACATCAATTTCTTTCATGTATTTGAACTCTTTTTGCCTGGTCTGAAAGGGTGTTGTACTGTTTTGCTTCACTGGGTGGCAGTAGCATGTCACATTTGGCGACACAGGGCGACACAACCTGAAGTCTGCAGAGACCTCTGTCAAGATGACAATCATTAGAATAAAGTAGGTTAGATTACACTGAGAATTGCAGAAGTAATTTCATGTAATATTAGAGTTTGCTTTTCCACTGAATGAAAGAGGGCATCAGGGGCTACAGCTATTCAGTGTGATGGGGTAACCAAAACGAGGACTTGTTATATAGACCCTTACCCATATCCATGCATCTTCAACAGACCCCCCGTTGCTAATAGATCCTTTACCTCAAACTGGGATTGTCACATTTTTGACATTGTGTAGACCTAGCATCCTGTTTATATATGCTGATATATGATATATTCTCTGCCTTGAGAATCTGTACACTGTCCAGGTGGATGAATCTGGTTTCATCCAAAACATTTTTCCCAATCTCTTTTGTGCACTATTGTTTTCTAGCCTGAAAGTTTCATATTCACTGACTGTCACTCATGCTATTTTTATCAAATGCATTGTGTTGTCATGTCATTGATCGTGCCAGTCATATCTCGGCCTCCTCCGTGTGTTGGTTGTCATGCACGGTAAGTGTGTAACTGCACCGTCCCCTTCGATTCGTTTTGTAGAAGCAAAACACATTGATGAGAGACGGCAGGTGTTTACTTTGGACGCACTCCCGAGCTCTTTGGCACAGTACTTAACGACTGGATTAGTGCATCAATTAGCAATCACTGCATGGGAGGAGCCTGATTGATCGAGACTGCTGCTGCTAAGGCTGGGCGTGGGGCATGCTGGGGCATATGAGTGTGGGAAGCAGCTGTGTGCGTGTGTGTGTGAGAGACTAGTGGCCAGCTGCTTGAGAATTAGTTCAAAGGACTAATTTCACTGCATGATAGCAGAATAAAACCATACGGACTTTGTTGACCTTGTAAAGATATCACATGCATACCTGGAACTGTCACGTGATTGTGATTTGATAAAGCCAAAGTGTCTTTTTAAAATATTTAAAACAACCTAGAGATTGCAATAATATAACAATATTTGTTTTTTTTGTTTATATTATTTCATATCAATAGTAGATATAATGTATTGCATTATTGTAATGACAGCTATTATTAAACTATATTTAATTGCCATCATAATAAAATAGTATACGAAAGCATAGAATTGATTAAGACCAATTAAATTAAATTCCAGTTTATTTGTATAGCGCTTTTCACGATACAAATCGTTGCAAAGCAGCTTTACAGCAAATTAAGTTTCTACAATATTTAGTGGTAGGTTATCAGTGGTGACTGTCAGTTAATGTACATATGGCAGAAATGTACGGAAAAATCACTTAAAGACGTAATTAAACAGACGAACACTATTAACAGCAATTATTATATGATGAAATCAAACTTATAGCAAAATTTGGTAGTTCTGTATGTTGTTTCAGGGTTGGCATCATCTGAGGTCCTCTGAGGGGTTGGCATCATCTCTTCTCAGGTGTTCTGGATCCAGACTGAAGCTTGTGTAAATCCAAGTTACAAAAACAGAGAAACAAATAGAGACATAATTAGCGTAGCTGCTGTTCCAACCAAGCAAAATTGATTTGTTTAACCCAAGGTAAAGAATAATAATGTGCATTTGATCAGATATAACTGCAGTACAAGATTATGAGATGCATTATTTGAATGCTTGTCCAAAGAGATGTGTCTTTAATCTAGATTTAAACAGAGAGAGTGTGTCTGAACCAACTATATTATAATGTGTTATGTCTCATAAATAACATATATAATACGTTTGAAATAGTTCAAATAGTTGTCTCATATATATATTCTCATATATATATATATATATAGTCTCAATATATTATCGAGAGACATGATGATCTATTATAATATAATCTCAATGCAATATTGTCTTGTTTGTATTATATATTACAATACAAGATATAATGCAAAGTATTATAATGAGAACTATTATTAAATTACTAATAATTAAGTTATTTAATTCTCATAATATAATAGAACATATGATAGAATGTAATCACTATGAGACATTATAGTAAAGTAGCTCAGTATTTTATGTTCTAAAATGATTAATTATTTAACAATGTAATAACTTTATATAACGCATTAATGTAATGTAAGTGATATAAAAGTACATTGACAATTTTTGGTTGAGATCATTCTTTATATTTTTCCAAAAACTTGGTAGTCGCGTTTAGGAAACATCTTTAGAAAAAGAGGCTGTTTTTACAATTTTATATGGTGCTACTGGTGCAAAATGATACACTACAGCTTTAATTTTTATTTCACGTTAACTCTGACAAAACATCACATCATAATTCAACAATGAATGAAGAAAGAAAAGGTAAAATTATAAAGCATTTAGAAACCATATGAAATCAAAGGAGATTTGTGGCCTCTAATACAGGTCATTTAGCTTTAAGGTTGTGTATATACTTAATTTTTATTGCATATGTGTGTATCTCAAAATGACAATTTTCAGGGATACACAGACCAAAAATGTTGATGACTCATCCTGCGCTACACAGGCTCTTGTCCAATCAGATATGACAATATCCTGCCCCAAATATTGATTGATGGCAAGTAGCCATTTGCATCAAAGATGACTGTGAAGTAACTTAAACCAACTGGTTTATTTAAAAAGTAAAAAACTCTGTATGTTTCCCACTAAAACTTTTTTTTTTTTTTTTTAAATAGGGAATGTCAAGCAGATTCATGAGGTTTTTAATTCATATTTTTTAATAACACATCTCTAATTAGCTGTGGGCAGTGAGATCATGTCATTGGCTCAGTGTGTAAAGTGTCTGGATTTCAGTGCGGCGGGTAGCAGGTGGTCAGGGGAACAGCACTCTTCCGTCTCAGTCTGACGGGAGGGAGAACAGCAAAGTGAAGCTGCGTCTCACTTTAGAGTAACATGTGAGGTGTGAGAT